TTTTTTTTTACCAGCCAGGAATTAAAAATAACCACAAGCATATTCGACTCCCTACTAGTCTTAAGTTTGATCTAATTATTCCTTCATTTCCCTGTTACTGTTATGTCACATGGATGAGAATGGGAGGTAGGAGCTGGCTAGGTGGGTTAGGACCCTGAAGAAAAGTGACCAGTCTGCCAGGCGTTGGTGGCACACGCCTTTAATCCCAGCACTTGGGAGGCAGAGGCAGGTGGATCTCTGTGAGTTCAAGACCAGCCTGGTCTACAAGAGCTAGTTCCAGGACAGCCTCCAAAGCCACAGAGAAAGCCTGTCTCGAAAAAAAAAAAGAAAGAAAAGAAAAGAAAAAAGAAAAAAGAAAAGTGACCAGTCTCTTATCTAAAAGCTGGGAATGCCCTTGGAACTTTAGGAGCTGGAGACCAGAGATGCCAGAAGTGTTTCAGCCCAAATATCTCCAGTTCCACTGAAGCCAGCAAAAGGAGACACCAGAAAGGGGGGCAGTTTTTATATATTTCTTTTCCCCCAAATGAGGCCCCTCTTCTGGAGACCACATTAAGGTTGTGACTGAGACTTGGAAGGCACCTAGCATAGGAACTGGACAGGCCAGCTCAAACCCACTTCCATCAGTCAGTGAAGCCTTGTCAATGCCAAGGCAGCAGGGCTCACTGGCACTCTATTTCCTGGGACCACTCCTGCTGTAGATGTTCTCTGTTCTCTCTTCATACATCCTTTTTTCTTCTTAAGCACCCACCTATGAATATGTAATGAACTTTTCTCTACATGACTTCTCTTTTATGGTCCATGAATTTTTATTCACCCAACCCATCAGGCAAGAACCCCAAAGCTACCAGCATGGGGTGGATTTGGTGTCTTGGGTTTCTGGGACTTTAGCTCCCTGAGAAAGTCCCTGTCACTCTCAAATACACTGTTCCCAAATCAACATCATTTCCCTAAGTTCAGTAGCTGTAAAACTGGAACAAGAGTCTTGAGAGAAAGTGAGGCAAGACAAACACAAGGGAGAAAGCCCTAACTATCGCATTGTTTTGAGGGTTGATACAAACAACATTTGAGGTCTCATATTACAGTATGGTTTAAGAATAGTATTTTGTGTGACTGGAGAGACAGACAGCTCAGAGGGTAAGGGTACTTGTTGCTCATGCAGAAAAGCGAGGTCTGGTTCCCAGCACCCACCTGGTGGTTCATAACCACCCATAATTCAAGTTTCAGGAGATCCGACTCCCTCTTTTGACCTCTACAAGCACCAGACACACATGTGATGCACACACATACAAGTGGGCAAAGCACACATAGATATAGAATAAAATAAATAAGCCTAAAATGATTGAGTAATTATCTTAGCAAGTAGCTCAGCAGTAGATGGGTGCTCAGATGCACCATGCCCTGAGTTCCATCCCCAGCACTCAAATTAACAAACAAACAAACAAACAAACAAAACTCCATAATATCTCAAACAATTCATTGAAGACTGTTTTTATTTATTAAATTTATTCTTTGACAATTTCATGCATGTATATCATACCTTTTGATTACTCTCAGTCTGAACCCCGTCTTATCTCCCTCTCCCTGTCACTCCCCCTCCTCCCCACAAGTCCTTTCCCCACATTCATGACTTATTGTTTTCTTTATGACCCATCGATTTTCACCAAGGCCGAGCATGTGTCCATAGGTTTGGAATTTGCCCCTGGAGCCTGGTGGGCTGGCTATTGGGTGCACAACTAAAAGCAATGACTGAATCTTGTCCAGAACCCAGCAGACTTTCAAGGGAACCACAAAGGAACGTATCTTCTTTGTTCTTTTTGAAGTCTTAAAAATAAAGTCTTCATGATTAAAACATTTAAAGTATTTGTTGAATACTTTAAAATCACTTTCATTTCAGCCATATGGAAAAGCTGCAGGATAGGACAAGAGGCTTCTGGGTTTTCCTAACCCAGAGATTCCCATTCAAACTCCATCAAATGCCCCCCCCCAGACTCTTACAGCAAGAGTCACAATGTATGGTTCCCTCATACTCCCCATCTCCTATCTGTTCTCTGCCCTTCATAGTCTTCACCTGTTTGAAGGATTTACAGGATGGTCATTGTGCACAATGTCCTTCCACATGGCTATGCACAAGGCTTTCTTGTGATGCAACTCAGGTTTTTTCTGGGTTGCAGGAACAGTACAGAGGAGATATTGTCTTCTCATTGCACCCAAAAGAAAATGGGGAGCACACTGGGCTAATTAATACCACTACTGGACTCTTTAATTTTGATTTTACTTGGTCAAGATGGTGTTTGCTAGGTTCTCCCCAGACAAATGCTTCTTTTACCCCTTTGCAATAATTATTTTTGACAAAATGCATTTAGAACTGTGTGAATGTTTCATTGCTCATTCTGCTTGAATCCCTTAGTTCCACCATCTATTGATATTTCTTGGCAGAATTAAACATTTTTGTGATCATTTCAAAATCATATTTTTCAAATTCCAACATCCCTATTAAATTGTTTGTTGTCATCTTCCTGTTAGACAAAATTCCCTATGCATTTTAAAGTTAATTTTAAAAATTAATTTTATGTATACAGATGTTTTCCCTGCACCTAATGCCTGTGTACCATGTGTTTTCAGTACCCATGGAGGCCAGAAGAGGGCATCAGAGCCCCTGGAGCAAGAGTTAGTTATGAACCACTGGGTGCTGGGAATCCACAACTCAGTGCTTTTAACCTCTGACCCTTCTCTCCAGAGTCTATGTAATTTTTAGTAAGGAAGACATGCACTGGTTTATAATCAAGCAAATGCATGGTCTTAAATGTTTACCTCAACGAGCTTGAGAATTGCATGTACTCAAGTATTGATACCTAAAATAAAACGGGAAAGTATTTCTATCCTTCTAGAATATTCTTTCATGCAAGATAATTCATCTATTAACCAACATCGTTAAGCCCACTGTTCCATCATTACACCTCTGAAGGCCAGATCACTTGGTTTACGAATTCTTTAGCAAGATTTGCATCAAACTTCCCTCATCTCCCTCTATGCTCATCCCATTTTTGGCTTTCTCTCATTCTCCATCTTCATTATGTAGAATAACTTGGCCCTTCTTGTCTTCATTAGTGTTCTCTCTTCTCCACCCAACACAGGAATTTTCCACTATAAAGTAGAAGCTGGGAGTTACGCTGCCAGCAAGAATCCCTCTCTTTAGGACAAGGGGAGAGAGGGCCACCACTATTTTATGGTAGTTGAAGTCCACTTTTCTCCTTGTCATTAGAGCACAGTATTCCTTAGGAGCTTGGCTTAAGAATGACTCTCTGATGGGAGTATTTCTCAAGCAATCTATTGGGGAAGTTTACATATGTGGGAACAGAACTAGACCACCTAGCTAATTAGAGGCAGTTGTTATTTTTTTTAGAACCTACTGAAGCAGAGGAATCATCTGGTAACATTAGTATTTGGCAAAGACTCAAAATGAGACAGAGGATTGGGAAGGTTTTGTAATACAAAAGAGGGAAGAAGCCTTGGTTGGTTGTTGGCATAGCAGGTATGATGGCAGGCTAACTGGATGTGGAACACCCTACATAATTGCTTAGGGCAGTGGTTCTCAACCTTCCTAATGTTGTGACCCTTTAATATGGTTCTTCATGTTGTGGTAACCCCCAGCCATAAAATTATTTCCATTGCTACTTCATAACTGCAATTTTGCTACTGTTATGAATAGTAATATAAATAACTATGTTTTCTGAAAGTCTTAGGTGACCCCCCATGAAAGAATCATTTGACCTCCTCAAAGGGGTTGTGACCCACAGGTTGAGAACCACTGGGTTATGGGTTTCTCTTGTAGAATCAATCGCTACAGAGGTGTGCAATGTATGACTTCTTAGACTGCTTTCTACAGAGATTGTGGGTCATGATTCTGCTGTCATACACAACACAGCCATTGGTCTGTATGTGTATCCATGTCTCTTGGAGTGAACAATGTATCAGAGAGCTGTGGATGCATGATTGTTTGGAGCTCTTTCAGGCATCATCGTCATCAGTGATGGTCTATTTCTCTTCTACTTAACTGAGTCCTAACTTGTGATTTCATATCAACTTCCATCGCCTAAAAAGGAAACATGCCTAGACAGGCATATGATGTGGCATGAGCAAATTTGGCATGTGGCTGATTTGACATGACAGAAGATTGAGGAGGTCAAGAACATCTCCACTGTCACAACCTGAGTGGTTAGGAAGATCTTGTTATGAATAGCAGCTAAAAGGTGAACTAGGAAGAAACTGATCTTTTTTGTGACAGATGTTGAGTTCAGTTTGGGGTCCATTAAAATGGAAGGTGACTCCTTGAAGATATTCTTTAGGCTCTTCTGTGTATAAAGTGGAACACCATTTCACTTATTTTAATCTTTATTCAAGTGTGTTAGGTGTGTGCCTGTATGAATTTATGTGTGTCTTGTGTGTGGAGGTATCCTTGAAGGCTGAAAGAAGATATGAGGTTCCCCAGGAGTGGAGTTACACATGGTTGTGAGCCACCTGATGCTATTGGGAGTGCTGGGAACAGAACCCGGGTCCTCTGCCTGCACAGTTAGTGCTCTTGATAGCTGAGCCAGGGGACTGGCCCCAGGAAGAGATCAGAGGATTGTCTTAACTCCATCTATCAAGGACACAGAGTGAAACAGGAGCTTCAACCTTTTGGTGATCTGTCTGATAACATACCAAAACACAGAGCAAGAAAAAAAATGGAGAACAAGAGGCCCAGGCAATAGTCACCAGGATTCTTTTGAAGGCAATAATGAACTATTTGTGATACTAAGAAAAAGCTGTGCTATTTTGAAGAAAACTCCCAACAAAGATTTCACAATAGTCTCAGGGAGACAGAGTAAATGATTAAAAAAATTGAATTCTCTTGGTTCTTTCCAAAGCATAGCACTTTAGCTTCTGTTTACAGAAATAAAAGTACATCCCAAAAGTAGTTTAATATTTAAGCTCTTCTATGTTTGCCTGTCTCTCTTCAGCAGAGGACACTGCTTTGGTGGAGCTGGTGAGACCCATTCAAGATGATTTCCCCAGTGCTCATCTTGTTCTCGACTTTCCTCTGCCACGTTGCTCTTGCAGGACGGAGTGAGTACTCCTTGCCTTTGTGAGAATATTGTCTCTAACCCATGGGTTTGTGTCAGGGATTAATAATGATGGCTTTCAAGTCAGAATGGATGCTGGAGAGTTGGCACTGATGCTCATTGCTGTTCTTAAAGTTCGTTGGCAGGATATTCAGCCAATTTAAGCCCCAGCACACTGACCTGTAATATGTAAATAGCAGTAGGGCCTCCTTCAAATGGCCATTGAGGTCAGATTAGATTCTTCATAGGAAGTATTTGGTACGGAATTGGGTAGACCTACAATTTGTAGTGTGCTTTTCTTTACATGCCAGATGACCTTGAAAATATGAATTGAGACTTTTTTTTTAAAGCCATCTGTCTTCTGTTCTGTTTCAGCCTGTCCCCAGCCAGATGACTTACCATTTGCTGTGGTTGTTCCGTTAAAAACATTCTATGAACCAGGGGAGCAGATTGTCTACTCCTGCAAGCCAGGCTATGTGTCCCGGGGAGGGATGAGACGGTTTACTTGTCCTCTAACGGGAATGTGGCCCATCAACACCCTGAAATGTATACGTAAGTCTGAAACTGCTCTCCAGTTCTCTCCCCTTCTTTGGATTCTGGGTAATTAGTGGGGAAAGATACCTCATCCTGCTCAGGTTGCACAGGGCTGGGGAGGGGTCTCTCTCTCTCTCTCTCTCTCTCTCTCTCTCTCTCTCTCT